GGTGGCCAATTTAAATGGGGCTCATTGAGAAGGTGACACTTGAAGAAAGAACTGAAGGAAACGGAGTGAGTCATGCAGATATCTGGAATGAGAGCACTCAAGAAGAAGGAAAATCCAATGCAAAGACACTGTGGTGTAGTGGTGAGCTCAAGAAGTAGCCAGGAGGCCAGGGGCAGGAAGGGGGTGAGTGGGATAGTAAGATGAAGTCAGTTCACAATGAACCTGTTGACCCTGAGAACAACCACTCAGAGATCACACCTGTTGTCACTAAAGTTCTCAAGCAAGGAGGTGGGTTTGTTGGTTGGTTGGTTGGTTGGTTGGTTGGTTGGTTGGTTTTATTAGCCCCCTCTCCTCACCCTCAGGGAACATTTGGCAATGTCTGGAGATAGTTTTGGTGCTGTAACTGGGAGGGGGACTGCTAATGGCATTTAATTAGTTAATGGCATCTAATTTTCCAGGAATGCTGCTGAACATCCTACAAAGCTCAGAACAGCCTCCACAACAAAGAATTATCCTGTCCAAAATGTCAATAGTGCCAAGGTTAAGAAACCCTGAATTAGACATATAAGTGCAGAGGTCAAAATATAGATGGATATACAAGTCTGGAATTCAAGAGAGAAGTCCAAAGGAGGTATAAATTTGGAAATCTCAAACAAATAGATGGTGTCCAAAGCCTAGGAACTGAATGAGATCACTGATGGAGTGAGTGTAGAAGGGGAAGAGGAATGAGTGCCAGGGGCACTCCAACATGAAGAGGACAGGGAGAAGGGGCGGGAGGGACGCCTGAGTGGCTCGGTAGTTGAGTATCTGCCCTCGGCTCAGCGTGTGGTCCTGGGGTCCTGGGATGGAGTCCTGCATCGGGTTCCTTGCTGGGAGCCTGCTTCTCCCTCTGCCTATGTCTCTGCCTCCTCTCTCTTTGTATCTCCCATGAATACATAAAATCTTAAAAAAAGGGGGGGTGCTGAAGAAGGTGAGAAGAGAGAACAGGAAGGACTGAGGAGGAGAAGGTGGAGCTCTGGAAAGAGGGGAGATGTGAGATAAAGCCACCTACAAGAGGGGCAGAGAAAACAACCAGGGAAGTCCATTCAGTATCAGGCAAGGTGAAGGATTTTTTTTTTAAGATTTTATTTATTTATTCATGAGAGACACAGAGAGAGGCAGAGACATAGGCAGAGGGAGAAAAGGCTCCCTATGGGGAGCCTGATGTGGGACTCCATCCCAGGACCCTGGGATTACGCCCTGAGCCAAAGGCAGATGCTTAACCATGGAGCCACCCAAGCGTCCCATGGTTAAGAACTTAAAATAAGATCAGTCATTCAGCTACGTGGATGCAGGTACAGAGTTCGCAGAGACTTGGACTTAAACAGTGTGGTTGCTTTGCCAGACAAGTAAGATAAGCCACCAGGGCAAGGGACTGAGAGTGTAAGGGGGGAGAAGCTCTAATAAGTAACTAGGAACTGAGGCTCAGCAAGGAAGGAAAACAACAAAAAGTCAGAGGCAGTGAAAAGGAGGTAGGATGCATGGATTCTAGATCGGGAGGATGGAAAAATTGTTGGGGTTAGTGCCCTAGGGTGAGATTAGGAGAGGGTGATAAGAGTGGGTTGTATGCAGTTGAGATTGTGGAGGATTGAAATGTTTGGTCTTGAAAAACTCTAAGGAGTAAAACAAACAAACAAAAAAAACAAAAAGCCACAAACAACTCTAAAGAGTGAATGGCTGAGGCAGAGGAGAATTCAAGAAACTGAAAAGCAAGATTGTTGGAAGATCATGTATGGGGCACACTGAAATCACACGAGTGGTGGAGAGAGTGGGAGCAAAAGGGAGTTAAAATCCTCCAGAAGGGACGGGGTTGGAACCCAGGCGCTAGTGGAGAATGGCAGCCACGCAAAGAGCAGGTTATAACACTGCAGATAGGGGAGAAACATAGCCTCACTTCTGTTCACATGTTCTATAATAAAAACCTATTACTTCTCAAAAAATAATTCCAAAAAGAAGTATTATAAAATCGTAGGACCATCTCAAACAGTCTTTGGAAAGAGCCAGACATAGGTGAGTACACGTACACACTCATGTATGCATGCGCAAACACACACAAACACACAGACACATCTATATATACCTGATAGGAGTCTTTGATATAGATTCTATGAGTTACATGCTTCAGAATAAAGGCGTTGAAAATAGGAAAAACTCTTACACACAAAAAGCAGCAGTACAAAGTGAATATTCTATTAAAAATTGTGAAGCTGGAGAATGCTGTTCTGTGTTAGTAAATAACAGCAATGTATACTCTATCTACCTCAGATTCAAATTATTATTTTACTGAGTTCTGCTTTTTTAAAAAAAAGATTTTATTTAATTATTCATGAGAGACAGGCAGAGGGAGAAAAGCAGGCTCCCTGTGCCCCATGCAGACTCGATCCTGAAACTTCAGGATCACGCCCTGAGCTGAAGGCAGACACTCAACCACTGAGCCACCCAGACGCCGGGTTCTGCTTTTAAAAAACCAGAATCGTGTATTTTATTTGTGAGTAAACAAAGTTACATCTGAATCTCTCTCTTCCTGAGAAGATTATCATATATTTTTGAAACAGAAAATTAGGAAAACATTTAATTCTTCCAGTTTTTACAGCATTATCCTTTTGGGGGAGGTGGGGAGAGAGAAGAAAAAGAAAGCAATAGAGTATGTTTTCAGGTTTTATCCACCCCTCTGGGTAAGCCAAATTCTTATGACCCTTTAAAGCTTTAAATTTTGCCTAATACTAACCTTCTCTGTTTTCTCCTTTCAGCAGTGGGCCTTGGCCTACCCTCAAAAACCCCTAAAAGCAAGAAGAGAGGAAGTAGAAGGGCAGTAAGTGGTGGTGCAGAAAGAGGAAGAATGGTTTTGCACTTGAGGTGGCCAGAATGATTTCACATGTAGCATGGTTACCCGATACCAAGCCATAAATGTCTAAGTATAATTTAGTGTTTGTATTCATCCGCTGAAGCAAACAGGGTAAGATTTACCCAATGAGCATTTATCATTCTGTCCTGTTTCAAAGCTATAATTTGCAAAGCAGTAGGAAGGGTTTACATGCTGGCTATGACGTGCTCACCCTGCTGAAAATTTCTTGCCCATCTTTATAACCACAGCCCCTGTACTTAATTCAGCTTCCAGTTGCAATGCGTTTCTTCTCAGGTTATCACAACGATATTCTAATAAAGTTGTAGGGGTTAATACTATTACTGGCTTCTTTAAAAATGAGAAGCTCAGGGGCACCTGGGTGGCTCAGTTAAGCATCTGCCTTTGGCTCAGGTCATAACCCTGGGGTACTGAGATCGAGCCCCAAGTTGGGTGCCTTACTCAGTCAGGAATTTGCTTCTCCTTCTCTCTCTGATCCTCCCTGCTGCTTGCTCTTGCTCTCTCTCTCCCATGAATAAAAAAAAAAAAATATTTAATAAGTAGGAGGCCCAAAGTCCCAAGTGCTAAAGGCCAAGTCCCAATTCTGTATTTGCCAGCCTGGAACAGGCCTTGGACAATGTTATTCCCTTCCCTTATCTACTCTGGATCCACACATCCAAAGTCGGGTTCATAGTCAGAGGCACACTGGAAAAAGCACTGAATGTGAACTCAGAAACCCTCAGTTAAAAGTACTGCCTCATCTATTTATCAGCTATGTGCCTGTGAACAAGTGACTTAGTATGTACTCACCTTGGTTTTCATGTATAAAAAGGGGATAACAACTGTTCCGCCTATTTTAGGGAAGAACAACTAAGAGAATACGTGTGGAAACTCACAGTAAGCTATTAAGAGCCACATAAATGTCATGTATTATACAAAGTCCAGCTTGGGTGCTTCTTAATCCAGGGAGCCTTCCAGCTTTTCAATCTAGCCTACACTGAATTCCCCCTGGCATTTCCTGCCATGCTATTTATCTTAGCACTTGATATATTTGCTCTTGCATTGTTACTCAAAGATTCCCTCAGTCAGGCACATCTCCACCCGGAACCTAGCACAGGATCGTAAGCACAGCAGTGCTCTTTCCATCCTTAGTGTCATGAATGAACTGGAGGAAACAGAGAGTAGAATTTATCCTTCTTGGTACCACAGTGCTCATTTCTACAAGAAATTTTTTTTTTTACAAGAAATTTTTTTTAAAGATTTTTTTTTTTTAAGATTTTATTTATTCATTCATGAAAGACACAGAGAGAGAGGCAAAGACATAGGCAGAGGGAAAAGCAGGCTCCCTACCGGGAGCCCAATGCAGGACTTGATCCCAGGGCCCCAGGATCATGACCTGAGCCAAAGGCAGACACTCAACCACTAAGCCACCCAGGTGCCCCTCTACAACAATTTTTTTTAAAGACTTTCCCTAGGATATTCAGTTATGGTCATACTCTCATTAAAGGGCACTATTCACTGGAAAAATGTTCTCTTTAAAAGATGAGGGTACTGGGTCTAAACTGCTTGAGGGAACAGAAGTATGGCCCAATCACAGGTAAGATCCCAGAAGCTCCCCAAGTCAGAGGAATCCTGCCAAGAGCGCCTGGAGAGGGAATAATTTTTCCCCATGTTACTCTCCTTAGGTTAAGGAGGCCTCACAGGGGGATCCCTGGGTGGCGCAGTGGTTTGGCGCCTGCCTTTGGCCTGGGGCGCGATCCTGGAGACCCAGGATCGAATCCCACATCGGGCTCCCGGTGCATGGAGTCTGCTTCTCCCTCTGCCTGTGTCTCTGCCTCTCTCTCTCTCTCTGTGTGTGACTATCATAAATTTTTAAAAAAATTATATATATATATATATATATATATATATATATATATATATGGAGATATGGAGGCCTCACAGGGAAAAGGCCTCACTTGCAAATCAGGCAGCCCTTGTTTGACTTCTATAGGCAGTAAGCCATCCTAAAGGATTTCAATTTCTCTTGGGGAAGATGCATTCAAAGTACATAGAATATTTTCCTCAAAGGCTCTTGGTAGCTTTCCCACAAAAACCCAGAGACTTAGTAGCACTTTACCTGATCTTTGTAAACCAGCCTGCTGGGGCTCAACCGAGGTTTGTCTTTAAATGAGTAAGTGGCCACTTGCTTCTTTAACAAGTCCAAGAAGTCAGGAGGTGTGTACAGGGGAAGGTCATTTAGGACTGGATCATTTCTTTGCACAAGAGGTGGTTTTTTCCTTCCTTCGTTTTTAAAATTGTAGGTTGCTATTACTGGATTTAATAAGGATTCTTCAATGAAAGTTTTCAAGTGGTAAGTGCCAGGGATAGGAGTATTCTGTGGAAAGTTGATACCATTTTTCAGATCAGTGTGAAAACTGGTAACATCCCCTAAAGCATCATTTGTAGAAGGGTCAGTCACTCTAAGGAACATTTCTTTCTGTTTTAAAGTTTAATAAAATTTTATCGAATAAAGTAAATACTCTTGCCACAGCAATATTTCAAGAGAATCATGATTATTTCCTTTCTGAGACAATTGCTGAATTATAGCAAATGGGTTGTGGCCATTGTTGAAGTTTTAACTTTTTAAAAAGTGACTTCAGAGATACTAACACTTGAAATGCAGGTGAACTATAAATGTCAGGTCTCCCTTGAGACCACTCAGGACAGTGTCCTGACTTAAAAAAAAAAAAAAAGTTAGCCTACTTCTGCTTGGCAGACACTACACGTTTCTTTCTAGCCCTCAAGTGAGAAGCTAAAAAAATAAGAACATGAGATAGGGAATGAACTGAGAAAGCATGTGATCTAATCAGTCCATAAGAGGTTTGGTACTTTCAAATCACCACAGTGTGGCTGAATGGCTCGACCTGTAAGTTTAGCCAATGTTGCGTTTATGGCTGACTTACTACTGAGCACCCAGCCTGGTGCCACCATTAAAATTAGTTCAGTTTCAAGAAGGCTTTGGCCCATGGCCCCTCTATTATTGAAGAATGTGGATAGAAAATATTTCTACAATATAGAAATGATGTCTTTTGAAAGGGGGATCTTCTGGTCATTGTTCTTTCATATATTACCACCTTGCTTTCCTACATTGACCATGTTAACTGAACTATCACAGGCCCTAAATCCCATCTAACCAAGATAAAAACTGAAACCCAACCCCCTTTTTTAGACTGGGGGCTTGTTCTTGTGTAATCTCACCCAGATCACAAACTAGATTGACCTTATCTAGCTATCCTGTAAAGCACTTAGACTCCTAGAGTTGTTTCACTTTTTACTGCATCCAAAATTTAGTTCTGTCAGATGCTGAGACTAAAATTATAAATAGCAAATGAGGTCCACTGTTTTCTTACAATTGTTAGTGACTTAAAATGTAAGGCTGATTAAAATATCAATAAGAATACAAATTACTTGAATAGAAAGAATGAAAACACATACTGTTAATGCTATTCTCCACCATCCTTCTCTTTCAAAAGATGATGTCTTCCGGGTTGGTTTCTATTAACAAACATAAAATGTGCTTATTCATTTGAGAGGTGATCCATGGAAGTCAAATGTATTTTCTTTTCTTTTCTTTTCTTTTTTTTTAATGTATTTTCTAAAACATTGGCTTGAAAAGATTAATACCTGTATCCAATTGGTCACCCTGAATCAAAATAAAAGCTACATAACGATCAATTTTGCCTGTCATATTTCCTTAAATTACTATTTTATGACTTGATGTGCTTTTTAGCCATTTAAATTCCCTTTGGAAAAATGAGAGTAATAAACATCCTCATCTCAGGGAGATGTCATAAGGAAAATTAGATGTGGCAAAATTTGGTGTTCTTAGGAAGCAAAGAGTTGTGTGAATCCAAAATTGTATTATTAGAATAGGTTTATGGTTCAGGTGATTGCGCTGGGAGTTCAAGGTAGAAGAAGATAGTCATCAAATTAATGTGATATTGGGATACAAATTCTCAGTGACTTGGCAAATGCTTAAAACTACCATTCCCTGGATTTATATATACTATCAAATATGTATCATACAAATATGATACAGCTACTTTTCTCAGCTTGTCCAGCCAGCTGTGACACTACAGAGGCAGAATGATACAGGAGGGCTTGAACTCCACCTCTGCCGCTTACCAGCTAGGAGCACTAGGCCAGTCACTGAACCCTTATGAGTCTCAACTCCCTCTTGGGAGTATAAAAATTAGGCATTCCACATTTAAAGACTTAAACACACAACCAGTGGTCAATAAATGATAGCTTTTATTTTTTAACATCTCATCTGCCAAGTTAAAAAGGAGATGATTTTCGTATTCCCTAGTTTCCAAGGATGCTCTTGGCTTCCACAGTAGGTACTCTATACCCATTTATTATTATTCCACATTTGTTTCAGCCTCACCACCAACAGAGCATGGTTGTTTAGCTTTTTCCTTTTGTGCTATTTTCACTACATGAAGTCATTAAAACACTGAATGGTATTTCCATTTATAATGCTTTTGTTACTACTATAAAATATAGGTTATTTCAAGCAACAATGCATTAGAAATAATAATCTTAGAGTAAAACTGATATAATTCATTCTTCCTTTTTAGCAACTTATATCCACTCTACTTAGAGTGCCCCTGGGCTTTAATTTCACTATGAAATGTGCATCTAACAAAACAAAACACTGTTTCATACACACTGCTAAGTCTATATTTCTTCCTATACGTTCCCTTTATTAGATTCATGTTGGATCTTCTCTGTTGCACATTTATAGTCACAGAAATCGAACTTTCTCAGGCAGGTCAAGACAAGTCTCCCACCTCTCCCTAGGACCAGGCAAATGAAGTGGAAAGAAGGGAGAAGTAAACACCCTGCTTCTAAAGGCAGGTAATTGGCAGCTGCTGTTTTGTTTTGCCCAAGGCCAGGGATCTAAACTCCACCCACCTATCACTTCAAATTCATATTAGGGGGTGAATCACTTTTACAAAAGATAGGCTAAACATCCCTCGCCCAGATATATTTAAAAAGTAAACTAAGGTAGTTTAAAATAGTTTATAAATACGAAAGCAAGAGGCAGGCACAAAACCCTGCACTTCGGACTAAGGGAAAACCCATCCTCTCGGCAGAGGGAGACGTCAAAGCAGCCGTGCAGCGCAGTTGGTAGTACAGGAGGAGGAAAGAAAAAACGGAGGACAAAGGGCAAATGGAAGGATGAGGGAGAGCAAGGGAAGAGGAAATAAAACCAAGTAGACCTCAGATAAAGATCAGGACTGGACTGCAGGATAGGTAGGAGGGCAGGGTTAGGGAGGAAGGGCAAACCGAGGAGCACAAGGGCCCAGCATTAGAGACGTGGGAGTTCGGGCGGGAGCCCGCCGGGCGGGGGATGGCTGCGGGCAGGGAGGCCGGGTGGGGGGGGGGGCGGGGAGGACGTCTGTACCGAGGCGGTGACCAGCGAACTGCCAGGCCCCAGGTCATCCCTGAGGCTGTTGGAGGTGATGGCGACTGGCTGGACCATGGCGGCCTCCTCGCTCCCTCCCTCCGCCAAGCCTGGCGTCCGGTTGCCAGGAGGCGCCTGGGGCCCGCGAGCTCGGGAGCGTGCGCAGGGGACCTCAGGGGACCGCCTGGCGTCGTGTCCAGCTGGGGGTGGAGGTAGGGGTGGGAGTGGGGTGGGGGGAGGGGGGCGGGAGCACGGAGGCCCGCGCCACCCGTGCGCACAGGAAATGGCTCAAGGCGCGGTCGCTCACTCGCCGAGAAAGGCTAGAGGGCCCTGGAGGCGCTGCAGAAGCTGGGGCGGGGAGCTGCGCCAAGGGAGGCTTCTGAAAGACGGCTTGGGCGAGCCTGAGCGCACCGTAACCCCCACCGGCCTTTTCACATAGAAGAACCCCGCCCCACATCCCAAAGCAAGGAGACAGTAGGCTTCGTAGGCATGCTTCACTTTAGCGCAAAAATCAGCCTTAGCACCCACTTTCTAAGGTGGCTTCTAAGCTCCTCTGGATGGAAACTCTGGGGGTTTTCTTCCCTTGCCTGATTTTAGGAGTGCGCACTCGCCAAAGCAGGCTTCCCTAGCTGTGAAACCAAGGACCACCGTCCTTCTGATAGACCCTTTTCCCTTCCAGCCTCTCTTAGCTGCAGCTTCTCAGCCTTACATTCTCATCTTCAGAAACAAACCCTCCCCCCAGCCTTAGTAATTCCGTTTTATGGAGTACCTGCGGTGTTCTAAAAACTTCATACACATTAATCTAAATCAGTCCTCACAACAACCCTGTGAGGTAAATACTAATTTCATTTTATGAGTAAGGAAACAGGCTTACTTGGACAGTTTAGCATACACAGTTGACTGGGCATCACAAGTGGCAGAGGCAGAGTTCAAATCCAGATCTTGTTCCAGCACCCCACTGTCCACTATACCATAGTCTCTCCTCCCTTTCACAAATTTCTAGAGGAGACTCCGGTCTTTCACCTCTCCTACTTCCCTAAAGCCATCTTAATCTGACACGTGTACACACCTTTCTATTAAAACTGCACTTGCTCGGGATCCCTGGGTGGCTCAGCAGTTTAGCGTCTGCCTTCCAGTCCAGGGCGTGATCCTGGAGCCTGGTGGAGGGGGGTGAGGGGGCCGAGATGGGGGGAGCGGGGATCCCGCATCGGGCTCCCTGTTTAGAGCCTGCTTCTCCCTCTGCCTGTGTCTCTGCCTCTCTCATGGATAAATAAAATCTTAAAAAACAAAACAAAAACCCACCAAAACTGCACCCGTTCAACTAGCCAGTGATCCAATCACCAAATCCAATGGGGACTTTTCAACTATCAAACCTGATCCCGTTGGTCACTGCTGCATTTATTACCCCACTCCCTCATTCTTGAATATCTTTCCTCCCGTGATTATTAGGATTTGACCACTCTCTTCTGCGATTTGTCTCCTATAAAGGTGATAATAAATTGGTACCTACCCACACAGAGTGATTAAGACTAACTTGAGTGAAATGTTTGGAACCATGTCTGGCACAGTGTATTCAGTAAATACTGACAAATCATTGCCTTTGGGACAAAAGCAAAATTCACAATCCAGTTTCCTTTCCTTTTCCCTCATTAGAACCTCACACTGATGTAATACATGGAAACCCCATGCCATCTTCACACTTTGGTCTCCCCTTATGCTACAATGCTATTTATTGTACATGCTACAATGCTACAATGCTCCCCTTCCTCAACAGCCTGGCAAACCTCGAGTTGCCTCTGAGAAGTCCTCCTTGGCCTAATCCATTGTACCTCAAAGGACCCTGTGCCTATCTGCTGGAGGATTCATTTTGATAAACTGTTCCTCCCGTAATTTTTAAACACATTCCAAACACAAGTTTTTGTCTTAATTCTGAGTCTTCTGAACAATCAGAAGGATTAAAATATTTCAACAAATGACCACTTTAGAGGATAATCTAGCACAGTGCTTTTCAAAAGTGTGCATACAAAACACTTGGGATCTTATGAAAACAGATTCAATTCTGAGGCAAGTGCCTAAAATTCTGTAGGTGACTTTTTGAGTACTGAGACTCCATTTAAATTTCTCTTAATGGGATTCTAAATTCAACATAACCTTTAAAAAAAGGGGGGGGGGACCAAGCAGGCACCAAGTTTGAAATCACAACTGACAAAGAGGCTAATAGCCAGAGTTTTCACAAATATGAGATTTAAATCAAGTCCATCAGTGTTCCTCATTTCACTTTCTTATTTTGGCTGAGCCTGTAAAACTGGCTCAGCAAACTAGGGACTGGTACTCTAGAGACTAAAGGAATATGATGAAAGGTACAGAGAAGTCTAGAAACCCATACAAGGTGTGAAATAGAAAAGAACATCTAGATGAGAAAATAGTTTGGAGAATCTCAAAAATAGAAACAACATAGGTCAAAGACTTCAAGGACTTCACCAGTAAGACAGATTAAGCATGTAGGATAAACAAAATGTCCTCTTAAGAAAAGTCTTGTACAGTATCACCGAGAAAAATTTAAAATTTTCAGGTTATAACAGTAGTTTTAAAAGGGGGGAAAAGTTTTTCTGAGACTACACTAAGTAGAGGTCAACAGTATCTATGCTATGCATCAGATCTTTAATAAAAATTCTGTAAAACACATCCTAAAGCATGGATCATTTCTAACTGCAGCATTCTAACAATTTTTGTTAGCATTATCTGAGAGCAAACATGCTACAGATAGCAGTTGAGGTAATAACTACCAATTACCGTGATCCTGCTAAAATAAAACAGGCATTATGGTTAAGATTTAAAGATAGGTTTTAAAATTAGTCCGGAGTTCCATTAAGATTGTTGTAGAAGGGACGCTTGGGTGGCTCAGAGGTTGAGCATCTGCTTTTGACTCAGAGTGTGACCCCAGAATCTGAGATATAGAGTCCTACATTGGGTTCCCTGCGAGGAGCCTGCTTTTCCCTCTGCCTAGGTCTCTCATGAATAAATACATCTTAAAAAAAAAAAGAAAAAAAGATTGTTGTAGAAGGCAGAACTGAGATTTGAATCCAGCTCATTATGACCAGTTAAATTATATAAACTGTTCTATACTTCAAGGGGGCTCCTGAGTGGTGCAGTTGGTTAAGCATCTGACTCTTGGTTTCAGCTGTTGTGATCTGGGTCGTGAAATTAAGGCCCAAGTCTGGTCCGCACTCAGCAAGGTTTTAGTTTCTCAATCTCCCCTCTTCTCCTAACACCACCCCCCTCTCAAAAACAAACCTTTAAAAACACCCCAAAACCTGCTGTATACTTTTAATTTCGTATAAAAATCAATACTTTGTGACTTTTGTGAATATAAAAATCAGCAATTAATGATATACCCCAAAATAGTGTGCCCCCTTCTACCTTGTTAAACTTGAAAATGTAGGAACTGGAAGAACTACGGAACTGGGAAAGATGGACTTTGACCAATTCCCTCATTTTACAGTAGGAACTGGGGGGTTTTACAGCATAGTATTATCGACTGAGCACTTACTGCAAAAATGCCACAGACTATGTGAAGTGCTTTACCTTCATATTGTAAAAGCCAAGTAAAAAACAAAAACAAAAAACAGTTGGGTAAATTATATCCATCTTGCAAGTAAAATAACTGGAGCTTAGGTAATATTAACCACTTAAAGTTTACACAGAGCAGTGATCTTTTTTTTTTTTTTTTTTTTTTTTTTTTAATTTTTATTTATTTATGATAGTCACAGAGAGAGAGAGAGGCAGAGACACAGGCAGAGGGAGAAGCAGGCTCTATGCACCGGGAGCCTGATGTGGGATTCGATCCCGGGTCTCCAGGATCGCGCCCTGGGCCAAAGGCAGGCGCCAAACCGCTGCGCCACCCAGGGATCCCAGAGCAGTGATCTTAATTAACACTGTTGAAGTAAAACTCCAAAGCCCAGGTTTAATACTCTGATAACTATTGTGTCTCAACAGCCAGACACATTAATCTCCCACCAGATACCTTGCTGGCCTTCCTTTTGACTGAAAGGTTACAACTAATGAAGGTTTTTCTATTTAATGATTGCCTGCCTAGTATGTAATAATACCCCATATCAGGATTATCAACGCCTGTAACTTCCCTGTAAAACCCATTTCTCTCTCTTGTTCTTCACTAATCAGTTTTTTATTTTCTGGTGAAATAATAACAATGGTATTAAAATGGATTGCCCTCTAGGAAGAAGATATATCTTGTGGCTACAATAATCGGGTAACAATTATACTTAATGTTTTAATCTTGGCTCTGGTTTGCTATGGAATCTTTAAGTTTTTAAAAGGTAACTAATAAAACAAACCCTAATAACTACTTTTTGAGTAGCTTAAAATTATAGAGAAAGCAATGGTTTAGAAGCAAGCAAGAACTAAAACAAGGTTTAGTTACTGCCAATCCACTCCTAAAGATACCTTTTTTTTGGTAAAACATGTCCTGAATAGGCAGGACAACTGAAAACTCTCCCTTGCCTTATGAAAAAGAAAAATCACTATGAAAAACATTAGCAAATAGAAGTAAAAACACAAGGTTTTCTAATCTTTCATTTAAGCCTTCTGAAGTATAATTTAAAAACTAAACACATGGGGATCCCTGGGTGGCTCAGCAGTTTGGCACCTGCCTTCGGCCCGAGTGGTGACTCCGGAGTCCCCGGATCAAGTCCCACGTTGGGCTCCCAGCATGGAGCCCACTTCTCCCTCTGCCTGTGTCTCTGCCTCTCTCTCTCTCTCTCTCTAGGTCTATCATGAATAAATAAAAAAAATCTTAAAAACAAAAAACAAAAACACAATCTAGATAGTAAAACAAAAATGTATCCAAAATCCATCAAGTAAAAATCACCCCCATAACTGATTCTCAAAATTGTTCAACCTCAAGTTAATTAAAGGACTCAGATTCAGAGCAACAGTTGGGTAAATTGTAATTTTTTTATTGGAAAACAAATATACAACTTGGAATGGATTTGAGGCAAATTGTGCCATAAGCAGATTTTCTTTAAGTGGCTAAAACAAAGTTTAAAAAGCAAGTAACAATAAAAGAAAATGTTTCTGGTACAGGACCAGCAGTACAAAAAAATAGTGTAC